CGTAACGCTGCCCCACTGCTAGTTGCATAACCCCTTCGCTCACAGACTGCGTAAGACACCGCGGCTCAGACTGTTTGCACAGAGTGTGTTTTGAAATAGCTGCCCCGGTAACAAATGAGCACAAAGGCAGGATTAGTCAAACACTTCTCATGAGGGGGCAGACCTCAGTTCTTCTGTCCCTGTTATTGTTAGTTACTGGATTATGGGGAGTGTTGAAGGGCTACTTTAGAAAACAAAAAGCATTTGCAGAGGCACAGGTGAGGATTAGGGTTGGTAGGATGTCCTGTTGCCCAAACATCTTGTCTCTAAGAGCTTTGAGAAGCCACTTTTAAAGGCGCTATATAAAATAAAGTTTATTATCATTATCATCAGCAGACTGTGAGCAGGAGTATCACTGGCTGATACTGTCTGGGGCTGACAGGGTTTGATTGCAGGGTACTCCTCTGCCTGCTGCCCAGCTGGGCCCTGAGACTTCCTGGCCACCTGCGGGCTCTTGTCCCCAGTCTAGGGCCAGTTCTGCAGCCAGGGCCCTGAGGTAGTGCGCAAGGGAAAGCAGCCGGACCTGACAAGACATTTCACAGGAGGGCTCCTGCAGTTCAGGTGCCACTTCTGCTGACGCCAGAGTCCGGATGCTGAGCAGAGATTAGCATTAGGAAGAGACCCAGTCCTGCCCAGTGTCCTGAGGCCTCCATCACCGAAGCCCTTCCCTTGAGCTTGATCAGGGCAGCCCTGTTTGAGCAGTCCTTTCAGAAAGGTCAAATGAGAAGTACATCTCTCTCAGAAATGGCCAACTGGCCAGAAGGCTGCCGCCGTAGACACACAACCTCGTCATCAAATACGGAAACACCACGAAAAATCCATGCAGTTGCAATGGTCATAAAATCAGTCATAAGCTACACATCATGTTTATACTGGCAGGCCTGGGAGCCTGTCAGCACTGGGTCTGAAATGTAATCTCTCTTTTTAGATCTGTCTGCGCAATCTGTACTCAGATCTGAGTGCAGGACGAACGGGCGCTAGACCCATTCAGGGCAGGGCAGGGCAGGGCAGGGCAGGGCAGGGCAGGGCAGGGCAGGGCAGGGCCCAGCTCCCTCCCTTGCTCATGGGACCGGGGGAGGAAGCAGGGAGGGAGAATTTAGAGCCTCCACGTGTCTGGGAGGAAACGGAAGCGCACACAGGGAGAAAATACAAACTCCACACCCCCTTTTTCCGGGGCCTGAATCGAACCCAGGACCCCTGGACCCGTAAGGCAGCAGCGCCAACCGCCCCCCTCGGCCTGCCATCGGTCCGGGATCCCGATAGGATTCTCTCATTCCCTGAGCAGCCAGCGTTGCCGTCTGCTCATCAGAGAGCCCAGCGAGCGCTCGCTGCCTCCGTCCTGACCTTTCACCTCCCTGCCACTCGGGCCCACCGATTCCGGTTATCTCAGGCCTCACGTCACGTCAGTACAAAAACCCAACCGTCTGCCCATTCTCACATGTGAAAAATAATATAGGGAAAAAAGCATTGAGTTAGGATGCTTCTCTACCTCGTGTAATTAAGGCTTAAAACCTATTGCACTTTAGGGTATAAATGATGCAGAACTCTTCACAGTAGACACTATGGGGAAGCTAGTGAAGGCTATTTTATTGTGCAACAAGGTCAATGGATGAAGGGCAGAAATGTTTCATGTTAAAGCTAATGGCCAGTAACACCCTGTTCTCACAACAGTGATGAGGAGCCACACTGGTACCACAGTATCCAGCCAACTCA